CCTTCAGGTGAGCCCCAAAGTTCACCCCCCCCCCCCCTAAACCACCCATCGTACTAACTCTGACAATTATCTAAACCCCAAAATTTCCCAATAAAACCTCAAAAAACGCCGAAAAAAAACAGACAACAACAAAAATAACCCGATCTTTTCTTCAGCCAAACTGATGAACATTATCACTAGACATACTCGATACCCCTTTATGCTCGCAGATGCTCTTAAAGTTCTCGATTATCGCGAACGATTCCCTCAGTATCGTATTCGTCTGCGCCAGCTCTTGTCGAAACCGATCGAAATCGGCCACGGTGGAATCCATCCGACGAATGTTCTTGTAGGCACCCTCCGCCATCTGCAGGAAGTTCCGCTCTATGGTCGCGCATGCGCAAGTTTCTCTTTTGGCCTCGGTGGATTCCGGTCTGGGAATGGACTGGGAGTGGGCGGAGCCGAATGTCGGAGACGGCCCATCGTGCTCGTCACAATGGTCTGGTAGAAAAAACAAAAAACAAAAAAACAAAAATTAAACCAAAACATTTTTCAACGTACTGATAATGGGGAATAATTATTACTGTAGATAATTTTGCAGATGTTTTATGTTTTACTCCCCCCCCCCCCCCCCACCCCCACCACACACACACGAAAAAACCCAAAATAACAACAACAACAACAGTAATTGAAAAACCAGAAAGCTAGAGACACCAAAAAGAAATGAAATAGTAACCCAAAAACACAGACGTCGAAAAGAACCAAACAGTACGGTTATCCAAAAACATACGCCCATGTAGTGTGGGGAACTACATAATAAATACATTGTAGAGAAAAAAAAGTAGCACTTAGTACTTAATACAGTATCTTGCCACATGGGGGAGTAGATACTCCTACTAGATACTGTATCTCCCCACTAGAGAGAGATACTACTGTGAGAGACACTGTATTCTAGAAAAAAGAATTAAAGATACTCCTACTTGATACAGTATCTCCCCACTTGAGAGAAATACTACTGAGAGAGACACTGTATTCTAGAAAAAAATTAAAGATACTTCTACCTGATACAGTATCTCCCCACTTGAGATAGATACTGCTGTGCAAGATACTGCGTTGAGAGATACTGCAATCTAAGAAAAAAAATTAATTAAAATAAAAGAAGATACTCCAACTTGATATAATATCTCCCAACACACGAATCGAACTCCCCTCTATCAAACACAACGGCAGAGAGCCAGGCCGCCACTACCACCACTACACACAACACCAGACTCCAGCCTCATTAAATAAAAGCCGTATTTACACGCAGAAAGAAATGATTAATTCGAAGAAATATTCACGGTAAACCCTCTGAAATATCACACTTCACACTTCACACTTCACAGCAACTAGAAAGAGGAGGTAGCATAAAAATATACACAGGTAAAGGAGGGGATGAAAACCTTAATTGCTCTTCACAGTCAGAATAATAATATTAATATTAATTTATCATAAATAGAGTTACGTCTTTCTTTCAAATCACATCAAGGCAATCACACAGTCGTGGAATGTAGAGTCGGGACAAAGGGTCAAGAGTTGACCAGTCGCCATTAGACAAGTTCCATTTGTAAAATTATACAATATGCTATAATATATTATTATATTCTATATACTAAACACATACATACATTATATTATAATGTATATACATGTATAATATATTTAAATGTATACATTAATATGTATACATAATGCAAGTATATTGAAGGGCTACAAAGCAAAACTCACTGAATTCCAAACGAAACATTGAAATACGTTTCGCGTGCAGGGTCAACTGAAACAGGCTGTTCTGTATCCCCTTGCCAACAGACTTTGGACAGAGTGGGGTTTGAACTGAAGCCCTTCACGTATTCTGCCACAGTTCATGACTTCTGACAGGTTAGTCTGAACACACAAACTCCTTCCAGAAGTATCATAATGATGGAATGATAGACGGAACAATTAAATAGACGAAAAGGAAAACGAACAAAAGAGTAACTGGCCGAGATCTGAGCAGTGGTCATCATCACCATCATCATCATCATCATCATCATCATCACCATCACGACTCTCCCC